ATGCCGAAGACAACCACATCCACCAACGTGGCGGCGACCAAGGGGCCCCAGCCTCCTAGGCCCAGAAAACGGGCGAGAGGAATGCATAGTTTCCTCAATCAGCTGTTGAAGGCGCTGGCATGCAGAAAGTGATATGTTATGTCAGGGTGGTCCTTGCAGCAGAAGCGGCGCGGCAGTCGTCCTTGCGCGGGTGCGATTCGACGAGACGTGCCCCAACCATTCCCAACCGACTTCAGGAATAGAAATGCCCACGGTGGTGAGCACTTCTTATGGAAACGGGCGATGTGTTCCCATCGCGAGGGGGGAGACAAACGACGCGCTGTCCACGTAGATCGGGCACGCTTTGACAAGCATTGGTCGGGATTGCTTCCACAAAAGTAAGGTGCGCAATCAACTTGGTAACAACTTGCATCGCCAAGTTCTGAACCTGTCGCGAGGGTGACAAAGGCGGAAGTGGAGCACATTGGCTCCCAGCCTGCCCCCCGCATTCCAGCAACGGCGCCGTGCAATTTAGAATCGCGGTGATGTCGTGCCTGGAGGTAGCTCGGCGAAGAGTCTCCGCAAACGCTTCTGAAAGCCAAAACTCAAGAGATGGTTTCGACCGCGCGGTTTGAAGAGCCGAACGGCGTCCCACAAATGATGGATGTTGGCTGTGCAGCCACTCATGCAACCTGACGCATGTTGGGAGAATCCTCGACGCCCTGCGGTTGAGAGTGCCAATGCTGGTCGTGAGCCAAGATGGTACTGTAGGACCGCCCCGTGCCACCGCAACCAGCTCTTGTGTGCAAGCGGTGGCTGGTAACATTCGAACTTCCATGACGCATCGAGCTGAGAACGGGCACCACTCGCGACGTGTATTGCTTGGCGGCTCGGGCAACACACGCGCAGCGCTGGCACCGAGGAGCCGGCGCCAGCCTTGAACTTTGGGAAGTGGGCGACCGCCAGCAAACCGCGTCGTCCGCGGCAGGCCCCACAATGATACCGAGGTCGTGGGGTGTGCCGACGATTGTCAGTTGCGCACAGCCAAGAACCAATCCAACAATAGCCTAGCGGACGAGGACACGGATCTCATCCGTGAATTCCGCGAACAAATATGACCAGCTTGAATGTCTTGTGCACGCGCAGGAAGAATGGCACGACCTTGGTATGTTTCGGAATGACGTCGTAGATGATCTTGAAGTGCCAAACGCTTTGAAAACGCATCCAAGACCGTCAGCACATGCTCGTGCGATGCCATGGCCGAGAACATCAAGCCGGGTGTGCAAGGCCTGAAGGAAGCAAGCCGTCACCGCGGCGTAAGCCGAGCTACTCAACGAACATCCTTGAATGATCCCCGATTCGATCCACCACGCGTGTCGTGTGAGGCCGTCCGACATGACAGAAGCGCCAGAATGGTGGTGCACAGTTGGTCCAGCATCGCCTCGAACGTGGCTGGCGCCTGCATCGCGCGAAAGGCCCTACGCGTGAATGTCTGGAGGAGGAGGAAGATAAGGAGGAGGAGGAGGAGGAAGAGGAGGAGGAAGAGGAGGAAGAGGAGGAAGGAGTAGGGAGGTGGGGTGCTACAACGCAGACCCCAGAAATCCACACGGAGCTCCGAAACTTTTTGTTTGGGCAGGCTCTCTTCGCCGACAGGTCGACCAGGACGAGCCCCGGCCGCGAACGTGCTCCCCGGCCTGGGCCCGGGGAAGCGCCCGGGCACCCGAGCCCCCCCCCCCATGGGCCCAAGCGGTGCACATCTCGGCGTGCTGGCCGTGGAAGGAAGGCAACGTTCGGAGGTCCGGCGAATCTCTTGGACGGGGGAGTCCGGCACCGATCCATGTGACCGGGGGCCTCCCAAAGACAATGCGCATGCAGTTTTCCACAGTGTCGTGGACCTCTCGAAGGAAGAGAACGGTCCTGGACCTCCAGGTGTCGTGACCTTTTGAGGGAAGGAACTTCCTTCCCTCAAAAGGTCCACGACCAGGTCTCCCTTCAAGGGAGACCTCTCGAAGGAAGGTGTCTGGCCGCCTGTATATCGCGGACCTCCAGGTGTCGCGGAACAACTTGCGACGGGCGACTCTTCGAGATCCCGGACTCCGTGGCGCTGTTTTCGGGGCCCCGCAGCAAGCCGAGGCAAGGCGTGCCCGCGGCACGAAACCAGTCATGGGGGCAGGGATCGAGATAGCTCTGGGGCCCACGTCGTGGCAGGAAGTGCGGCGTCGGAGGTCTGGACAGAGCGAGGGTAAGGAGGAGGACGAGGATGGACACAAGCTGCGGGAACATGCTCCGAGGCTGCACCGGCTGCACAACCACGCACGCGAGTCGCAGGGATGATAGACCTCGCTTTGACAATGCATGCTGAGCGTCGAGCTCAAACATAAACTTGGCACTTTGTGGGGTGCCGGGGCCTCCGCTCACTGCCCAAAGTCGGAGTAAACACGACTCATTATACAGAATGCACGTCTGACCTGGCAAGCACACGACTAGCACTCGCATGACCAGCCAGAACTACGACCAAAAAGAGCTGTTAGATCGCTCGCAAAAGCCTGGGGACGAGGAGGAAGCGAGGGGGAAAAACAGTCTCGACGTGTACTCGGGTAAGAAGCGAGCCATCCCTCCAATCCCCCGATGGGCCCCGAGCGAATTGGACAGATAGCGGAGGTCACATAACATGCTGCAGGCTCCTCGACGCCAGCGCGGGGCAGCTGCCTTCTCGCTGAGATTACTGAGGCGCCGCTGAGGCGACGCCAAGCTTTAAGTCGGGCGCGTCCCTCTCAAATAGTCAATCGAGAGACGATGTTCTAAAAGTATGTTTGAGCATGTGTTGGCTATGCTTTGACTCTGTTGGTTCGTGCAGGGTCCGCCTGTCCGGGGACATGCTCGGCCTAAACCGAGCTCTGCACGGACTCTGGCGGACGACAGTGGGTCTGGTAGGCGTGACCCCGGGGGGACGAGCTGCTCCCCCCGCGGGTCATCTCTGGGTGAAACCGTCAGCAGGCAGAGGGTCAGAACTGGGCGGGGCACTGGGTGACCAAGAAAAACACATCCCCAACCCCAAATTCGCGGACTCACCGAGGATTGGAACATCGGCCAAAGATTTCGGGGCATGTTTTGCGTTCGTCGTTGTCAGCCTGGTGGAACCCTAAGCCCCAAAATCTCCCTCCCCGAAGTCTCGAGGAGCCTGCGTTCTGTCTTGGCCCTCGCGTTTTTGGGATTGGGCGTCTGTTTTGGGTTAGTGACTGAATGGAGGGTCAGCGGACGAGCAGCGCTTCAGAACGGGGTGCTCCACCTTGCGTAGGGGGAGCCTGTCCCCAAGCGGCTGGGACCTCCTTCGTCTCTGCGTAAGGGTGTCCTTCATCCACCACCCAACATCAGCGCGTGACCACCTCCCATGCTCGCGCAAAGATCCCACCCTCCCAGCCGCCACTTGTTGGCAAAACTCATCTGGCCATGATCTCAACGAGCGCAAGTGCGCGTGGAACTCAGCCGCGCAGACGAGTTCGTCCACCAGGTCGCGAAGTGGTGGTGACTGCCTTGAGCTGCGCTGCGCTGTTCGATGCCCCCTAGATAGGATCCGAGTAAGTGGGATCGGAGGATCGCGCCGAATTGACGATGCATCGGCGACGTCGGTGATGCATCGGCGACGCCGGAGTGGAGAAGATCAGGCCCCACATCGAGCCGCATCGCCGAAGCATCGGCGATACAGCACGATCGTCCGACCCCATCTCCTCAGACCCGATCTGGGAAGCCTGCGGCAGGGGACATTTGAATAGCGTGTCGGTGCGCCGGTTCTGGCCCACCACACTTGGGCTCGAGCTAAGCAGCGTTTGTCGTTTTCGCGTTGCTTCTGTTTCCCTTCGTTCTTTCTTCGTTCGGTTTTTGCTGCGACGCAATATCAAAACGAGAACCGTCCAGGAACTCGGCAAAACACCGTTTAGCTCCAACCCTGCACCAGACTTCGCCGCGACATACTATCGACTTTACCAGTTGTCCCGAGCAGTTCCCAAAAACCCGCCCCGCGGGGCGGAGCGACACGCCATCCACTCGTATGGAAAGCGTGTCGCTGGGGCCGCGGGGGCGACACGCTATCCCAAGGTTCTGGACCACAGAGCTCTGGGGCGGCGGGGGGTCAGGAACAGCTGGCATCGAATCGGGAAATCGGATCGGGTCGGAACGTTGATCGAGTCGGACCACACTGGCTCGGAGTCGGAACCGAATCGAATCGGAGGCGCCAGAATGCACAATCGGCAGCGCCGTTCGAGCATGGGGCCGCAGCGGATCGCCAGAGATCGGAATCGAACTGGGACGGCCAGAGCGATGTCGAATCGGATCGATCGGATCGACATGGACGCTGGGAGGTTCGGGGTGACCCAAAATGGGGTCCAGCTGAAAGGGGGTGGTGCAATAGATTGGGGCAATTGTATTGCAAATGTACTGCGCCGGAGAACTGTATTGCAGTGTATTGCAAGTAATGCATTGCACGCGGAAATCCCGCAAGACATCTGCGCCCCGGAACGTATTGCACGCCCCGAATATACTGCAGCCCCACAAATCTGCTGCACCAGATCTATTGCACCATCCCTGCTGGACCCCCTTTCAGGTCAACCCGAGTCGATCGGATCGACACGGACCCCGGGGGGCGGGGGGGGGGCGGGGCGGGAGGGGCGGACCCCGCTCAGAAGCAGCCCCTCCAGACCCCAGCGGCTGCCCTTCGAGGGGCCGCGCGCGGAGCCCGGCTCTGGCACCGGAAGCCCCGGGTCAAGGGCCCCCCGGCCAGGCCAGGGAAGGGGCATCCATCCATCCAGAGGGGCCCAGGGAGATGCAGAAAATAAGTAGGCACACAGTCGAGGATGACCACATTGATTTATCCGTATCTATAGATATATATATATATACAATCATGTGTACAGAACTACTGATGCATTGTATCCATATAACATGTGCTTGGTTTGATATGACTCTCTCTTCTGTGATCGATAAACCCGGATATCCTTACGAGAATCAGCGCTCTTTGTTGTCCGTGACTTTTTCCCCCCTGGTCGACCATCCACCGGCCCTGGGCCCGGCGTTGGCCCGGCCAGGACCAGCGCAGGTCGACAGCTGGCACCCTCTCCGAGAGGAGGCCCTGCACTGCGACGAGCCCCTGCGCCGTCGGGAGGGGGGAGGGGAGGAACACAGGGAGGGAGAGGCGGGAGGAGGCGCGCGGAGGTGAGGATCAGAGGAGGGCCCAGGGAGGAGGAGGAGGAGGAGGAGGAGGAGGAGGAGGAGGAGGAGGAGGAGGAGGAGGACGGAGGGAGGAGGAGGAGGAGGAGGAGGAAGAGGAGGAGGAGGGAGGAGGAGGAGGAGGGAGGAGGGAGGAGGGAGGAGGGAAGGAGGGGAGGAGGAGGAGGGAGGTGGGAGGTGGGGGAGTGGGAGGAGGGAGGAGGGAGGAGGGAGGAGGGAGGAGGAGGAGGAGGAGGAGGAGGAGGAGGAGGAGGAGGAGGAGGAGGAGACCTCTGCGTGTGAGGCCCTGCCCCTGCCTGGGCACCACATCTACGAGCAGGGGGTGCCGACGCTCTCCCCGGCCTCCTCAGCACGTGCCGGAGCACGCGCAGGCGCGCCCCTGCTCGATGGCGCAGGGCCAAAAAAAAGCCACGATAGGGTTAAATCGGGCGTGTCCCGCTACAGGGGGATTTTCGATGAATAATTAAAAATACTCCAACAATATTCCAGCCTGGTCAAACAAAAATACAAAACAAAACGTCGTCCCCAGACTATGTTTTGACTAGTTGTGAGTACTCCCCCCTGTAGAGGCACAGGCCCGACGTAACGATGGGGGCGGGAGGGCAAGCTCCGAGGAGGCGCGGAGGCGAGATGCCGGGGGAGGGCCCCGGAGCCCCCCGGGGCCGCCCGGCGCGCGGGAGTCCGCCGCCCCGGGCCGCCCGGGCGTGCAGCGCCGGGCTCCGCCCCGGGCGTGCAGACCGCCCGCCCTGCGGCAGAGGCGCCGCCACGCGTGGGAGCTCCGCGGTGCGTGGGCGTGCGCGCCAGGACTCGGGCGAGCAGGGTCCGCTATAGGCCCAGGCCTTCCCCCGAAGGGCGCTGCAGCGGCTCCATGGAGGTTCGAGGAGGTACCTGCGCCAGGTGGCGAGGTCTAGGCAGGCCAGGCGGTCGAGGCAGGGAGGAAACTGGCCTGCAGAGGCACTGGGATCATCCCTCTCCACAATCCCCCCCCTGCCTTCCTGCAGTCCCCCCGAGACTCTCGAGCCCCCTGCGCTCCTTCACAATAACTAGTAGAACCACGCGCGCGCGCTTCGCGCGCGCTTCGCGCGCGCTTAGGTTCTAGTCGCGCTCGAGGATCTATCATCGCAAATTGCCGTTGGGTGCTGCCCTTTGACTCGGGTGTTCCCTCAAGGTTGGTCGTGGGACCTGCCGCCATTCGATATGGGGGCTTCCACGACGCGTCGCCTGGGGCTGAAATCGATCAAAAAATCACTGGGGTGCCCGAATATGGATTGCCTAGTGCCCCGAGGCCGGGACCTTCCATGTATATAAGAACAGAGGTGTAGACATACACACCAGTGTCGTATATACTGATAGGTGAACATGTGTATACATATATGTATATATATATATATACATGTTATCATACACACCTCTCCGAGGGAGTAGAGCTCAGAGGCGATTAATGCGTACGCGGGGCGTTCGCGATTGTTCTGGCCGTTTTGCTCGGGACATCATCCAAATTCTGAAAATCGGTGGCACCCCTCACGCAGATCATGACGTCAGTCCAAAAACAAGTGGGAATGTCAACATTTTGACATACAACCTTCAAAAGCACATGGTAATTTCAATAATGTGACTCCTGGAACCTCCTGGGGCCTCCTGGGGCTTTCTGAACCTTCTGGTACCCCAGACCCCGCCTCGGAGCCTCCTGGGGGTCTCCTGAAACCTCCTGGGGCCTCCTGGGGCCTCCTGGAGCCTCCTGGAGCCTCTTGGAGCCTCCTGGGGTCTCCTGGGCCCTCCTGGGGCCTCCTGAGGCCTCCTGGGGCGTCCTGGCGCCTCCTGGGGCCTCAGAACTACATGCACACACAGAGACACAAATCACGCCCAACACATCACACGCTAGACAAACATAACACACACACACAACACCTGCAGCGCACAAAAAGCACGCACAACACAGAGCACACATCACACGCACACACACACACGCACACACACAACACTCACAATCCTGGGGTCTCCTGGAGCCTCTTCTGGTATCCAAGTCGGGCCTCCTGAGGCTTCCTGGGGGGCCCTGGTACACACATCGCAAGGTGTGGCAACCCCACGTGCGCTCGAATGCGACATCGTTGTTGCATGTCACTCCTGCTTCAAACGCCCCTGCAGTTTTTTGTATGAGCCTGGGCACACACGTGCCACTTGTCTATATGCATGTAGGTATGTGTGTATGCATGTATGCATGCACTCAGTATGTATAGGTGTATGCATATATGCATATATGTCGGTGTGCAAGTATGTATATATATATATATGGTTGTGCGATGTATGCATGCATGCAGGCATGCATGTATGTGTGCATGCATGTGTAGGTGCACGTATGTATGACTGCACCTATGCAGATACGAAGGTATGTGTGTATGGATGCATGCATGTGTATACTTATGGATTCATACATGGGTGGGTGTCTGTGCGCATGCATGTATGTATGCATGTATGTATGCATGTATGTATGCATGTATGTATAGATGACTGCATGCATGCATGTATGTATGGATGAGTAACTGCATGTATGGTTGTATGTGTGCATGCAAGAACGTAGGTTTGTATGCATGTATGGATGTATGAATGTGCGTTTGCATGTCTGGTTGGACGTATGCATGTACGTGTGTATGCATGTAGACATGCATGTATGCATATATGTATGTGTGCATGTGTGCATGTATGCATGTATGTATGGCTGCGTGTATGTATACATGCATGTCTGTATCCATGCATATATGCACACGTGTATGTGAACCTGTGTGTATGTATGCATGCATGCATGCATGCCTGTATGTATGTATGTGTATGCATGTATGTATGTATGCACATATGTATGTGTGTAGGTATGTATGTTTGCAGGTATGTATGTATTTATGTATGTATGTGTATGTATGTATGTACGTATGTATGCATGTATGTATGTATATACTATATGTATGAAGGTTCGTATGTATGAGTGTATGTATGTATCTATGTATGAATGTACGAATATAATCTGCAGGTGCGCACATATATATGAATATATAAGGCTTGTCTGTCGTAAGGATGATTCATACATGTGTATATGTCAGAATGAAGGGGGCCGAACGGTCATTCATTGTCCCTGGGTGCGTCGCTCTAGTGGGGATCCGTGGTGAGGATTATGTGTGCTGCGTTGTTGTTGTTGTTGTCGCACCCGCGACCCAATCGCGATCCACTCGCGACCCACCCGCGACCCACCCTCTGACCCGCCCGTGACCCGCCCGCGACCCACCCTGCGACCCACCCCGCGACCCACCCGCGACCAACCCCGCGACCTACCCCGCGACCCACCCCGTGACCCACCCGCGAGCCACCCCGCGACCCGCCCCGTGATCCACCCTCATTGCTTTAACGATAAGATCGGCGCCTGCGGCGGGCTCAACGCATAATTTGTAAAAGTTAGGCGCCTGCGGCGGTTTTCTTCAGAGCCTCGCAGACTGAAGACGTCCTCGCCGCCCACTCACTCTTATCCGCAACTGCGGGGTGCTACGGTATATGATTATATACATGGCCTTCGGACCATCCCGTCACAGTGCCTGGGCTGTGTGTCAGAGGCCTCTTGGGTGTTCGTGGGTACCTCGTGGGAAGCCTCTCGGGAACCTCGTCGAGGGCGGCTGTGAAGCCTCTCGGGGGCCTTTTGGGGCTTCTTGAAGCATTCTCCTAATCTCTTGGGTGCCTTTTTCGGGCCTCTTGGGGGGCCTCTTGGGGGGCCTCTTGGGCGTCGGGTCCTCTTTGGGCCTCCTGGGGGCCTGAGGGGGCGGACGGCTGGAATTGTGAGTTCGTGTTCATTGTCTAACCGCGCTATCTGGCACCAAGCCCACCAGCATCTGGCACCCAGGAATTAAGGTTCATAACTGATAATAAAGTCCTCGCGTGTCGTTCTCGCCAGAGGTGGCACCGCCCTCCTAGGCCCTCCTCCAGGCCCTCCTCCACCTCGCCCATGGGCCCTCCTAGGCCCTCCTCGCCCTAGAGTCGCCCTCGCCCTCCTAGGCCCTCCTCCTCCTCCACCTCGCCCATGGGTGCCCACACTCGCTCTCTCCCTCACGCAGTCCCATCGCCCCCCTCGCCATCGTCGTCTTCGTCGTCATCGTCATCATCACCGCCACCATCATCCTGACCCCCTTCTTCTCCCTCCTTCCCATATCTTCCGCTCTTCTTTTTTCTTCTCGACATCTAACCAGGTCTGTCATGGGCTCTGTCTGGGCTGCTGCACTGCGTCCTCATCTAGCCCCGCCTCCTCATCATATCCTAGCCCCGCGCTGCTGCTGGCGACTTACTACGTACCTAGTAGCCCCGCTCCGCACTCACTGCATGAGGATCTTCACCCTGCGCACGCGCCGGTAGGTCCCATTACTAGAGTACTGGTAATGCTCGTCGCCGTCGTAGCCCCCTGTGCCGAAAACCACGGTGACGTCGTGGTCGAAGTAGTAGTCGGTCTGAAACTGAAACCACTTAGCTCCGGACTGGTAGGCGGCCTCGGTAGCCTTGGAGTGGTAGCCCCAGAAATCCACCCAAGCGCCATCCACCCAGGAATCCTCACAGCCCCAGCGGCTTTCAGCGAACTGCCAAGTGATGGCAGTAGCCTCGTCGTTGCTGATGCGCTTCGCATTATGAGCCCCCCACCAGCAGTTCCAGCGGCAGCAGCCCGCCCAGCACATCGTTTAGCGCCTAGTTGTAGCGCCCAGTATGTTAGCGCCTGGCGTGCGTCGGGCCAGCAGCTTGAGCCACTAGATGCAACCAGCAGCAGCAGCAGCGGGCGTAAGGGGTGCAGCGGCGGCGGCGGAAAGGGGGGGCATCTCGTTGGGGGCTATAATATTTGCGAAGGGGGGGGGTCGACGACGCCAGGGGGGGGCTATGTGGGTGGCAAGCCCACGAGCATACGGCACGTCCGTCCATAGGGCCCTCGCCACAGCAGGCATCGCCACATACCAAGCAACCCATCAGGTCGTCCTGGACCATGGGGCCCTGGCCCATCCATGGAGCCCTCGCCCTCCGCCGCGACCTTCGCAGAGACTCCGACATTCATGGGCTCCTCGCCCACAACCGCCCTCCTCCGCAGCCTCCTCCTCCCACTCCTCCGACTCCTCCTCACCTCCTCCTCCCCCTCCTCCTGGTCACCGCCATCGTCATCGCACCCATCGCCATCGCCATCGCCATCACCCTCCCCGCTCATCGCTATCGTCGCCATCATCATCACAATAATCATCCACCTCTCGTCGCTCCCCCCCCTCCTCCTCCCCCGTCCTCCCCCCCTGCTTCTTCCTCATCGCCACTGCCGCATAATGATTAATAATCCTTTGCTGCGTTGGCATCAGCATTATTGCAACCGCTGTTGCCCCCACCATGACAGGCCGCCGTTGCTTTCCGCATCGCCTTCTTTTCGTCACCATCGCCATCATCACCACAGCATCATGATCACTGGATCGTGTTCCTCATTATTTGTTTTTTGCTCTGCATCACGATCCGAACAGTGCTCCTCTTCTTCCTTCTACCCCCCCATCCTCGACCTCCTCCACTTCTTCCTCCACCTCCTCCTCCCTCCCCCCCTTTTCCTCCTCCTCTCCTTCCCCCCCCTCTTCCTCCTCTCCCTCCTCCCTCCGTCCTCCCCCATCCTCCTCCTCCTACTCGTCCTCCTCCTCCCCGTTCTCCTCCGCCTCCTCCCCCATCCCCCTCCCTCTCCTTCCTCCCCCTGCTCCTCCCTGTTCCCTTCCCTTCCTCCTCCTCCTCTTCCTCCTCCTCCTTCCTCCTCCTCCTCTCCCTCCTCCTCCTCCATCTCCTCGTCCACCACCTCCAGTGCAGCGCGCGCCGACAAAGCTGCCCCTGGCGCGAGCCCCCCTGAGCCTGCCCGAGGCTCGGTGGGGTAGCTGCAGGCGGGGGGGCATCCTCCACCATGGCTCACATGCAGAAGACGGAGCTCTGCCGGTTCAGAAGTGAAAATTTCCCCAGGC